AGCCTTGCAAAACATCCTTTCGATACCCTGCAGCCATACGAAATTTACAAAATTGGATGACATCAACTGCAGCCAGTGTTCGTAACAATTGAGGAGATTTCATAGATTTGGCTTGATTTAGCTAAGGCGTCTTGGGACTAGAATATATTTTACTATTGCTGCTGTCTATAAATATTGTTAAAGTAGGGCTCATTGATACGCTAAAATTAATAAATACCCTATAATTAAAGTGTTTAAAGTTGATCTATAAAAATTTGCCAGGAAGAGTTTGCTCAAATTTAATTTAGAAGTAAACTTAGCTTGCCTACGTCAAGTTCCAAAGTATCAATACCCTGTACACTAACTACCTGATCTAATATATTTATATTATGTATATACATTATAATTTACAGAGCATCTGTTAACACTTTTTCTGCTCTCACAGGGTATCTCCCTCGTCTACAAGTGCATTTGCTGCGGCTGTTTTCGAGCTCTATACGCCTAGGATGTGCGATGTAGATGCAGCTGTCGTTGCGGCTGTGAATACGCACGCACACAATCACACACACACACATAATCACACACACTCACAGAGAGAGCGAGCGAACGACCACACATAGACTAAAGTCTGTGCCATAGCTAAAGGATTTTTATGGTTTTTCAATTGGTTCGCATGTTTTTTTTTCGGCTTCTTATTTTTTGTTTTTATCACAGTGTAGGCAGCTGTCAGGCATTTGGCAGCGTTTCGCATACGCGTGGGGCATTCATTAGGGGAACGCAGCATAAAATTCTGGCTAAAAGCAAAACTCGATGCCGTTGGCTGTTGCCTGCTGCCAGGTCGCCTGCTGCCTGCTGCCTGCCGCCTGCTGCCTGCCGCTGGTGTTGCCAAGAAAACAAAAGCACAAAAACAAATACAGAGTCACACACACACACACGCACAGCAGTGCTCGACTGGAAGCAGCCATGCAGCAATAGCCTTGAGTGATAACATCATCATCATGTGTGTGTGTGTGAGTGTGAGCAGCGAAGCATTCAGGCAACAAGCCATGCCAAGGAGCAAGCGATGAAACCCAAAAACTGCAGCAGCAACAGCCGCAGCAACAGTAACAAGTACAACAACAACAGCAGCAGCAGCAGCAGCAGCAACAACGACGAAACCTTGGCAACCAAAAAACAAGAGCAGAAACCCGTAGACAAGCGACACGACAATGGGACAAAAGGTGGAGCAAAACGCTGAGCTAAGATTAAATCAGGTAAGATATTTTGTACGTTGCGAGTGGTAAAAAGTTTTGCACCTGCCGTTAGTCCAGCAGCCGGTTGCTCAGCTCAAGTGGTTGTTGTTGTTATTGTCATTCAGATGATTAGTGCGCAGCCTTCAAGCTGCGACTGCGCAGTTACTTTTTTGGTTAACTGTAGCCGGCATATCGCGTGCACTTCTCGCTTTTGTTTATTGTGAAAACCTGTCCACGCACTTATTGCAGCTTGTTGCGGGGCGTGGCAGCGCCTCAAATTGATCAGCAAACAGTGCGCGTGTTCCATTGTGCGCCTGCCTGCCTGCCTGCCAGCCTGCCTGCATTATATGTACACAACATGCATATGCAAAGAATCAACAGTCTTTGGGCGTTTTACCCTCATCAAGCAACAAGCTCACTAAACAGCCGAGAACAGCTCTGCTGGAAACACCTGCGCTCAACTAATTTGCGCTCACCTTTTGCCAGGCATTGATTGTTATTTTAATTGCCTTAAATGTGCAGACATTTGAATTTCGAATTTTATGTTCGATATTGGGAAATTAAATTGGATTTTAAGTATATTTAAAGTTATTTATTAAGATACTAAGAACTGTGTAATAAAAACGTTTATATATAGTTATTTTTGTTAATTCATTAAGATTTTTTATATAGATTTATAATTTTATATATATATTTTTTTTTACAATGTTATTTTGATTTTAATTTTCTATAATAAATTAATTAATTTAAAAACGAATTATGATAAAAAAATTAAAATATTAATTTGAACAATTATTTTACTATTATATATATATATATAAATATACATATATAAAAAAATAAAAAATTTTAATCATATATTTTTAAATTTGAAACTATAACGATAATATTTTATATATATAATAACAATAAACGAATTATAATAAAAAAATTAAAATATTAATTAGAACAATTATTTTACTATTATATATATATATATATAAAAAGAAAAAAATATATATTTTTGTTGTTTATTCATATATTTTTAAATTTGAAACTATAATGATAATATTTTATATATATAACAATAATAATAAAAGTATTTATATTAAAAAATCACTAATCCAAAGAGTTTATACGATAAAAATATTTTTAATTTATATTTATGCCAATTGTTTATAATTTTAGAACTTTGTGGCTCATCTTGCAGTTGTATTTGAATATAATTCTGACTGAATCAACTGGCAAAGCTGTTTTAAAAAGTTCGACATAAGTTTTTAAGTAATATATTTATATTATTTATTTCGGGACTTGTATATAAGAATATTTATTTAAAACCAAAGACGATTTATACAAAAGTCTATATAGTTATAACTTGATCGCCACGCCCCTATTAAAACATATACAAAAAAAAAGAAACGCAGCAGAAAAATATTTCAAGTCTTTCATCTCCAGTTCTCGTCCCGCTCAGTAGAACAGATAATTCACATAAAAAATATACTCATTGCCTTTTACTATTCACGTATAAAAATCTGAAATATTAAAAATGTCTCTTAATTAAAAATGCAATTAAAAAAGAAATTCCTTTTGGCCAGACAATAAAAGTAAATGCATAAATATTTATGTAGCCTTTAGTTAACCGCATATGACGCGCTGTCTACTGTGCATAGACTGTGAGTGGGCTTTGTATACAAATTCTAAAACACTCAAATGTAAAAATAAAAAGAGGAAAAAGTAACTCGAAGTGGAGCCGTTAATGGCTTAAATGCAGCGACAATAACAGAAACGACAGCAACAGCAGCAGCAAGCAGCAGCAAGCAGCAGGCAGCAGCAGGCAGCAGCAGGCAGCAGCAGGCGTCAGGCAGAAGGGTTTACTTCCAGGCCATTAGCTTAATATGCTCTGACCATAACGTGAACCGCATCGGGCAAAGAGACAAGACCATAAAAACTGAGAGCAATAACAATAACAATATTAACAGACAGCCAACAACCAGGCGACAATGAAATGTTACAAAGCGCACGCAGCGCGTCGAGCAATGCAAATGGCAGCGAATGTTGCCGCGTTGCAAGCAGCTGAGTTGAAAGGGCACAAAAGCCACCACCGCCGCCACTGTCACGCCCATGTGTAGGTCGGCTGGAGCGAGAGAGGGCGCGAGAGCTTTGGGGAATTGCCGGATGCGCTGTTAGCCGCACGAGTTGCCGGCATTAATGCAATGTGCAACAAGCTAGAACACCGCGCCACAAATTGACAACAACAACAACAACATCGGCAGCAGCAGCAGACAACAAAAATTAAAAAGTATCAAAAAAGGAAAAAGGGAAAAACTAAACTCGATTGCATGCAACGTTCAAAATATATGCAAACAGCAGCAATAATAATAGCAACAACAACAACAACAAACGCAACTCATGTGGCAGTGGCAGTTGATTATAAGCCCATTGATGTAGCTGCAGCCTCAGCTCGGCGATCCCTGCGCCGCATTAAAAAATAAAAGCGAAAATATTGCAAATTGCAATACACAAACGCAGACAAAATGGCAACAATGCCAAAAGGTGGCTGGGGTTGGGACGGGGGCAAAGGTGGCAACTGTTGCAACTGACCAACACGACATGGCCATCAACTCTGCCCGCCCCTACCGGCCCCTCGCTGTGCTGTGTGCAGCGAAGCGCACCACCCGAATGGGTTGGTTTTCGACTGGCTCGCCGCCTGGTGCCCCTTCAGCTGCTTGGTGGTCTATAGGTGCGCGCAGCACCCCCGTCACATGCCAGCAGACAGAATGCGCCATTTTTGGCATATTCCATTCTGGCCCAACACAAATGCTGAAAATTCAACGCTCAGCTCGGGCCAACAATGCCGCCAAATAAACTTCATTCACTTTTTGTTTTATCTTTTGTTAGCTTAGCTGTTTTAGCTTTTAGTTGTGGGCCAAATGACTTTCAGTTCTATTTTTTTTTTGTTCACTTTTCGTAAAGTTGCAGCACTCGAAAATATTCAACAATAGATGAGAGCAATTTTGTTTCTTTTTTTGCAAGGGATGCAGCTGCAGATGATGTAATGCAGAGATATTTGAGCAAAGCCTTAAATTAAATATGGATTAAGCTGATCTTATAAACGTATTTAGGTAAGCAATTATATACTAATCTCTTGTTACATTTTACTGAAAATAAAATATGAAAAGTAGATTCAAATAAATATAAAACAAGCTTATAAATCATCAGAATTTGCTTTAAAACATTTTGCCCAAAAAGCCGAATACCTAAAATCACATCTTATATCAAAAAACATATTGAATGATCTTCAATTTCTAAATAATGCTGTTAAATATCCCAACTTTTTCTGAATTCCTTTCAATACAAATTTAAAAATAAAAAGAAATAAAATAAAAGTAAAAAAACTCACCTGGTTGAGCACTTGAAGGTCTGACATCTGCTGTTTGCTGTTTGAATGTTGATTCACCGCAGGCGCGCCATGTGTCACAAGGATAACACATACACACGCAGACTCTCACACTTATATGCACATTTATTTATAAAAAAAAAACACTTGTAAAGCTGCAAAGAAAACAAAAAAAGACAAGAGCAGTTAGCTAAAAAGCAAAGCTTAAGTAAATACATTAAATAGTATTATTTACCATTATAATAATTATTATTAATTATCAATAGTACAGCAACAGACTCCTAGTTGCCATAGTAGCTCTAAAGAGCGAGCGCTCTTAAATTTGCCTTGACTAGCTGAAGCGCACGCTCTCACTCACACACACGCACAGGCACAGGCTGATTTCCTCTCTTAGCATGGACAACCTGTTCTTGGGCTGCTTGTTGCATGCTCTTCAGCTTAACACTATGCGCGCACGCTCTCTTTACAGCTGAGCGAATCGCTGCGACGTCGACGTCGACGGCGACCGGCTGGTCGGCTATAAAAGGGCAGCAGCTGCTGCGCGCCGCTTTAGTCTTTCGACAAACGTCGCGTCAATTGCAACGTGCACAAGCGAGCAGCAGCTGCTAAATCAAGTGGAATTTTGACAATATTTTCTTCGTCAGACTGTGCGTGTGTCTGTGCCTGTGCCTGTGTTAAGCCGCTTAGAGCTAGAAGCAGCACGAGCTAAACAAAACGTGCACAAACAAACATAAAAGAAGTCGCGCATAATTCGAATATTGTTCGCGCCGCATTTTAAAAGGTGGTCATGAAACGTGCCCAACATTTGCATAAATATCAAATGCCACAAAAATACTAAAAACCATAAAAGAAAACTGTGCTCTAACTTGAATTTGAAGTAAAGAAAAAGAACTTCCTTTTGTGGCGCTACAAATATGCTGCGCTTAACCACGTTCGTGATCGTTGCGTTGGCTGTGGCAAGCGCGCGTGGCGCCACCACCAGCGGCAACATAATCGTCAGCGATGAGAACAACATGTTGCGCGATGTTCAGGCAGCCGGCAGCGCGGCTCCAATTGCAACGGCAACTGCACCACCATCATCCAGCGTGGAGCTGCTGCGCTTTGTCAACGAGGACGAGGACAACGACGAACTGGAGCTGCTCTCGAATGGCAGCAAGGACGAACAGGATGCGGATGCGGATGCGGACAAGAATCTGAAGCTGGGCGATCAGGTGCGCCTGCTAACGAAGCAATTGAATGCGCTGATGACGCGTCGGCGCGAGGATTACGAATTGCTTGAACATAATTTACGCAAATCCCTGCGGCTCACCACGGACGCGGCCAGCGTCGATGCGGATATGCGCAGCGAATTGGACCAACTGAGGTGAGCTGAGCAAACACACAAACTTAATTAGATGCAGTTGCGTATGCCACTGACCCACAATTCGTTTACAACTTGCAACGAGCAACGCGCAACTTGCAACTAGCAACTTTTGCAGTTGCGCCCCAACTTCAGTCGCAAGTTGTTCAACAAAACTTTTATTTCGGGAAACTCGTAATGCTGTCTGTTTCAGTCAGTCAGCCAAACTTCCCACTCATTAATTTTGTGGGCGTGGCCGCCACTAATTTTTTTACAACTACACAGACAGACATGTGTGCGCCTTATTTATTTTATTTATTTTTTTTTTTGCGCACGCTTGAAGCCAATTTGGCAGCGCCTCAAAGTAGGCGACACTTTAGCGCCTCGCTGAATTTTCGTTTGTTTTCTTTTGTTTGTTATACACTATGCGAAGCATATTGTTGTTTTGTCAGACACTTTGAGGTGTAGTATTATATAGGAATGCTTGATTTCTTTAATTTTTTATATAACTCTGGTTCTCAATATATGCTGTTATATACACAAGAGATCTTAGATCTTAAGAGGCTCACGAGATCTTGACATACTATATTAAAACAAATTCTTTTGGCATTTAATATGTCGCCTTGTTCATAAAAATAGTAGTGCGACTTAAGCACTTAATGTTGAAGAAACCAAATTTAGTGATAAGCACAATATATTTAAAACAATTTGAAAATAATATTTTAATAAACAAAATATGTTTATTATTAATTTAAAGGTACATCGTTATAAATTGGGAAACTTTTTATACTTTACTGCTGTTCATAAAAATAGTAGTGGCTACTAAATAGGGAAAAAACTACGTTTTAACATTAAACTAACTGCATGTATTAAGTACATTTATGCATGCACATATAATGCATAATAAATAAAAATGTCTTCTATATTCTCTATATGCATGTTTAGAATAATTGGAATCTCTTCACAGTATATAGCTGTTCTGGGAAGCACAAAGCTGTTTATTCAACAATTCCTTTTAAAAACATCTTCTCCAAAATCAACAAAAACTCAATAATTATGCATCTATAGAGATATATTAATGATATATATTGAGTAAATATATTAAGAAAAATCTAAGCATTGTGATATTTTGACTTCATTAAAAGCTTATCTGAACAGAAGCTTATCTGTTGAAATTATCTTGTTAAGATCAATAAGTAATAGAATATATATAATAGAAAATCATTTCACTAAATAATACTTCAATAATAACTGTATCAATTTTATGGCCAAAGTTCAAAGCTCAAATTTTTTTTGTTGCTAAAATAAATATTTTAATGAAGTCTTAAAGGAAAATGTAATATTTTCATTCTTATAATTCTAATTTAATTTTAATTATAATTTGCTAATAGCAGCTCTCTTTTATAATATAACAGCTAATTTAGTTAACAAATTAAGCAGATTTTAACTAATAAAGTAACAATTATATCCAATGTTTATAGATCACAAATGCAATTCATAAAACAAAGCTTGCCTTAGACGAGCTAATACCTGAAGTTTATCTATTTATATATTACATAAATTGGACATTTTTGATAACTGAACAATAACTGTTTATATATTATATATCTTGACCTTTTTTTATCATATACCTGTCAATCAATCAATCAATTACTATTTCTTTTTTCTATCAAAATCATGCCAACTTTTTTGACATTACAACTGAAGGACATTGAAACTTCGTTTCTGCCTTCGAGGCAACTGTTTGTCTTTTGTTTGTGCCTCGGCATTCGCTCTGTTTGTATTTGTTGTTGTTGCTGGCACAAACGCAACTTAATTTAAACAAATAGGAAAAGAAAAATCCAGTTCCCTAAGCAGCTTAGCATTTGATAAGCGAGACACTCAGGCAGCACGTAGATGATTTCTGATTTGTGATTTGTGATTTCTGGCCTAGGCCAAGCCCCCGACCGTCAAAGTTGCTTTCACTTTTGTGATTTGTTTGTTGTCTTTGCCGACTTGGCTGACTAATAATGATTGTCTCATCGACACACACATACACGTACACACGCATACTTTGCTGTTGATCTAGAGCAAAGGACAACAAAAATGGCGCTCACTTAATTTACTGTACAAATAGCTTTGGCTAGTTTCGCTGCTGTTTGCTCATGTCGTGAACGTCGTAAACTTTGTCACTGACACCGTAAATAATTCAACACACGCGTGTGCCACACACACACACACACGCACACTTTGTAGACATAAGCAGCAGGCAAGTCGCTGGGGCCAGTCAAACGTCATGTCAACTGTGGTTTATGTGCTACAATCCCACCGCCCCCCACCGGCCCGAGTGAGGGAAGCGTGATCCATTAAACTTGCGACCATTTGCCTCTACTGATTTGGTCTAAATTTGATGGCGCATTCAGCGCATTCCCCATTGCAGCTTCCATTTGATAATTAAAATGTGCGCACAACGTTCACACACACCCACACACACCCACAAACACACATGCATGGCACTTTCTTCAGCGTTAGGCATGTTGTTTTCCTGCACATTTTCAATTTGCTTCATGTCATTGACAGCATATCCAATTTTTACCTGAATGACATGCGCTGCGTTCGCTGTTTTTATATAAGTTCTTTTATTTATTTTTTATTTTTTATTTTTTATTTTTTATTTGGCTTTCAACGTTGTTTACAAAAGACGAGCGCGCAAAAAAAAAACGTGTTCTGCTGCAGCCATGCGAGAAATTGTAGTTACTTTTGTGTAGAGCATACAATAGTTTGCTGCTCTTTTTTTATTTTTCTATTCTTGTTTTTGTTGCCTTTTGCTTTTTGCTTTTTGTTCTACAATTTCAATTTTAGTTCTACACTCACAAATGTTTAAATAAATTGCGCTTCTACATGTAAGCGAGCTATTGAAATGGCGAATGAATGCCTTCGCGTTGTTGTCAAATGGAAAAGGCGATCAAAATTAATATAGATATATCTATATATTCATATGCATATATATATGGTAGAAATGTTCATTTTTACTATATGAATAAACAGGATTTTGATTGGAAATAACTGAAGCGTAAACTGCTTTCGGTTTGTGCAGCTGAACTTAGTTTGTATCAATAAATTTAATTTATGTATTTTTTTAAGAATAAAAAATTATTTTTTTTTTTAATTTTTAATTATTTAAATACAAACATTTTCATACGAATGTTTAATGTATTAAAATATTGATTTATATATTTTTATTTTTTAATATATGTTATTCAAATTTTTTTTATGTCTTTAATTATATAAGCAAAAGGAATACTTTTATATATTTTTTTTATTTATTGTTTTAGATTTGATTTTGCTTTTGTTTTTTTTTATTTTTATTATTTTTTTTTTAATTTTAATTAATTATATACAAACATTTTCATACGAATGTTTAATGTATTAAAATATTGATTTATATATTTTTATATTTTAATATATGTTATTCTATCTGTGTTATATTTTTTTAATTATATAAGCAAAAGGAATACTTTTATATATATTTTTTATTTATTGCTTTAGATTTGATTTAGCTTCTGCTTTTTCTAGCTAGAAAAAGTTGAATAATTAACTTCAATGCTGAAAAAATAGCTCAACATTTACGTTTCCACAGCTTTCTGTAAAATTTGCAAACAAAAGCTAAAGCTAAACTTTGACCACAAAGCGAAACACTTTTTTGAATAGTTTGGCTTAACAGCTAAAAGCCTCGAGCTATCATGAACTTTTATTCATTTAGCAAATTTGATAATTTTTTACATTTACGTCCAAATGAGCTAATTACTGCCAACAGTTTAAAAAACATTTTTCACTTTTTTAATCAAATGCGCCCACTTAAAAAATGAAAAGAAAAAAAATAAAGCAGGAACTAACCAACTTTTTGCGTGCTCAACTCAGCTGTAACTGAGCGTGTAGTTAAAAGCCAGAAAAACTTCTCAAGTCGTCAAATTTACAACTCACACACACAGGCACAGACAACTGCAGGCGTGCATAAGTCAGGCGCACGCAAATTGAAATATTACGTATACGCAACATTGCCAACCGAAATGCTGTAGGAAGAAGAAAAAGTTTTTTATGAAAATTTCATGTAGCTTTGCTCTTTTGACAGTGAAAAATAAAACAGCAGCAGCGGCAGCAGCAGTAGCAGCAGCTGTAGTCGCTAAGAAAAAAGGAAAATAAAGAAAAGTTTTCTATGTGATAGAGTGGGAAAGAGCAGGACTTGAAAGACACCTCGCTACACACTTGCCACGGCGAGTGCCTGCGCGCCTTCAGCTCTTCCGACTGACTACTTTAATTGTCTGAAATGCCACAAAAATGCGCTCAAGTTTTGAGGCTGGCGCCTGCCAGCTGCCACAAGTGCTACAACATTTTCATTTTCACATTTTCCCAATTTGTTTTGGCGCTAAACAAAATTTTGTTCTTGCCACACTTAAACAATATTTCCAATTGTTGTTGCTTGTTTTTGGTCTTTGTTTTGTTTTGCATTGTTTTGCGGTGCAAAAGTTTTTTGCTTTATTTTGTAGCTGATTCTGAATGTGATTTGTGTGCGGCGTGTAAAATTCGTTTTGGCAGTTATTTGCAAAAAGAGTGGCAAACGCCTCGCTTTGCCTATGCGCTTAATTGAAAAACTGCATGAAAATGACGTTGCTTTTTCAAGTAAGCCTCACGCCCAAATCCCATTAACACGCGCGGCATCGCGCTGCCCGTTGGCCACACAGGCAATTAAGCCGTCCGCTTGCCTGAAAATGTCAATTTAAATTAGATTCTGCCAGCGTCACAGAGCCGTGCCGTGCCGCGTCGCGCACGTTGCAAAGTCAATTAAAATGTTACGCATACGCCGTGTGTTGCATATTCATCTACCTGACCGGCTAATTAAGCAAACCAAGTACAAAATACATTTCAAAAAATATATATGCTAATGTTGCTGATGTTGTTCTTTTGTTTTTGTTGTCTTTCATTTTGCAGACGGGAAATGCAAACGCTACGTGCCACACACAGCAGCAACAAGGAGCGCCTCACTGTCGAGTGGCTGCAGCAGTCGATATCAGAGATACGCAAGCAGCTGGTGGAGCTGCAGCGCACCGCGGGCAGCGTGGCAAAGGATGTGCGACACGGTGGCGCTGCCTACGAGGATCTGGCGACCATACGCAACGATTATCAGCAGCTCAAGCTGGAGCTGGCCGCACAGCGTGAACGGCAACAGCAAACTGAGGTGATTGTTCAAGAGCTGCGCGAGGAGCTCATGCAGCAGGAGCAGGAATACAAACATGACCTGATTAGGCAGCAGCAGCAGCAGCAGCTAAATGCCAATGCAATTGTCAAGGAGCAGCAGGCGGAGCAGTCGGCTAGCATTGAGGAAGATAGCAGCAGTCGGGAGAGCAGCCAAGAGGTGAGTAAACACACATACGCACTGTAGTCCGTGCTCAACTTTATGCTAATGATCAGATAAGCACGCAGCTCTCTCACACACACACACACGCTCAGGTGTGTGCTTCAGGTTTTATGGCTTTGAAATTTTGCCTTTGTTGCTGCTATTGCTGTTTTAAGTGCGCTCATAAAGCGGCCTGTCGGCCACCCTACACCCTACACCCTTCAACCTACCCCTCCCCCTATTACCATTATCTGCCCATTTTATGCCTTATTTTATACCTGACTGCCATGGCCATTGTTTTCTGCTTGTGTTTTTAGGGTAGCTCTTTTGCCATCTGAGACACGATGTGCTAACGAGCCGAGTGCCCGAGCCGCCTCGAGTATATGGCCGACACTCTCCTCTACTCTCTGTGTATGTTTGCGTCCTTACTTTTTAATGGCGCCTCATATGCTGCTTAAATTACTCATACGCACCGCAGGACGTCAACATATTTAATATTTAATGCTAACGCCTCGCCCCGGGCAGCCACTTAGACCCACAGAGCCTACATTGCTCAACTCCTTTCCATGCCTCGTCCAACTCCTGCCTGTCTGTCTGTCTGTTCCTGTCCCCATGCTAACTAACTGAATCATTAACATTAAGGTCAGGCAAATCGCAGACAGCGCAGACTGAACAGCAACATGCTAACAACTTTTAATTATAATTAAAGTCAATAAAATGCGCAAGGCAAAAGTGAAAGTTAAATGAAATATTCAAGGGCAGGCCGCTTTATCAGATACCCTGTAGATATATTTAGCATAATGAAATAGTTGGGATATGTTGCCCAAACATGCAATGCCAAATCGCAAGAGAGTTGAAAGTCAAGCGCTTAAGTTTTTGACATATTACTTAACACTGTGGCTGGCTTTAACATCATAAAATAGTGTTGTAAAACGAGAAAATTTACGTTAAAAAGCTTCAAATTAAGCTAAACTAAGCTCTTATTTCATTCAAGTATTCAAACTTGAGTTGGTATTAGCTCCAGCTCCAAGCATTTTGTCCTTGCCAAAGATCTTAAAGCTGTAAAGAAAAACCCTCTTCAAGTTGCTTTATTTTGCAAATCTGTTGACGAAGCATATCAAATTATTTGGGGTATCAAGGGAAACCCTTTCTGGCCAACAAACTAGAGCAAGATATTTGAGCATACAACCAACAGGTTAAGCCGCAAAATATGTTTCTGATGCATAAAAGAGACAACAGCAACAAAATAGGAGCAAAAATACATCAAAAAATATAAAAACTGGAACGTTGTGCGCTTCATTAAAAGGATTATGCGACGCCCATATGCATGCGGTTGCCGCACAAAATATGTCAGTAGAATGACCCAAAAAAAGGAAGCAAACTGAAAACTGGTTTACAGACACCTGTTTACCGAATATGCCTCTTCTGCCGCCCCGCCTAACTTCAGTCGGCCCATTGTTGCTTTGAAGTTTCTTGTGATGTTTTGCAGAAAATTTGCTTGACTATGGATATACCCAGTACTCGTTGCCTTTCTCCGGCTGACTAGCTGATTGAAAAGCGAACACAAAGCAATTACATATAGCCAGCCAGTCAGCCACTACAAATTTTGACCACAAATTGCAAAAAAAAGGGCAAACAAAACCAATGAAAACGATAAAACGTGCAGTCAGGCGGCGTAAGCGGCTTTCACAAGAGACGCACTCGAATCAGTTGGAGTGCAGGACGCTAACACACACACACAAACACTTGAAATACACACATTAATGTTGAAAGGGCACGCCTCGTACTCATTGTATATATATATATAGATATATATATATATATGCCTATAGAATGAAATTGCTGAAAATTGCAAACAAAAAGCAGGAAATCACCTTTTAATCGCCCTCAGCATTTCTGTGGCAAAGCGAGCAGCGGCAGCAGCAGCAGCGTGAGAGAGGCAGGGGCAGAGTGGAGGGAGATTCTGCACAACAATTTTGGTATACAACGAACGCCAGCTGCGCTGTCAGAGTCCAGCCTGACGGCTGCTGTCTCTTTTGTCTTGCCAAAACATTTTGGCCCCTGTACAGGTTCCCAATTTTTTGGCCAACAACAGAGCAGATGCTCTTGAGTGCCTTGATAATCAGTAATGTGTGTGTGTGTTTGTGTGTGTGCGTTTATGATGCGCGCGATGCTTCAGCACAATTTGATCCTTTTCATTATTTTTAGGTTTCCTCAGTTGTTGTTATTTTATGCCACATTTCCCACCAAAAACCAAGTTCAGTCTCTGACAGCAGGGACCAAACAGCAGTTAGCCAAAAACCTGTCTCTTTTGCCTCTCTAGCTACAAAAATGAAATATAAAACAATGAAAGTGAAATGGCAAAAAGCAATTTACAAAAGTTAAAAAATAAAATAAAACAAAAATTAGGTTAAATTAGAACAAAGCGCATGGCACAACAATCAAAATTGCGCAGGTGGCCGCGATAAAAAAGAAAATATAGAAAAAAAAAATACATAAAAAATAGATTTAAGAAACATGCCATGTGGGAGTCTCCCTCTCTGTGTGTGATTAAATTAAATCAACTGTATCTAATTTGATTAAAATTTGAAAAACAAAACAAAATTGAAACGCGCGCAATTTGTGCAAAAATGTTATGCCAAAACCCCAAAGGGAATGCTTTTGAAGGAATAAAGCGAACAGAGCAAAGCTAAATAACTCAATTTCAGTGTTGGTTAACGCTTTACATATATGTTATATACACTTGTATTCGCATAGCTATTATCAAAAAAATTGCTTTAAAATTTCAAAAATAATTTTTAAAAAATGTTTCTAAATGATTCACTGCTCTGCTAGTTCGCAGTTAGCTAAAAGAGTTTTTAAATGGTTCATTACTGGTTCAAAGCATTCAACTAATTGAATCTCTTTGTTATTTGGCCAACAAATATTCAAAGGGTATTTCATAATAGTTTTTGTATGGAATTTTTAAAGCTGAATCAAAAATAAATCAAAAAAACTGTTTAAGTGGTTCATAGCGAGTTCACTAGGCGAGCTAATTACGTTTCTGTATTGACTAGTATTTTAAGAGAAAATGTTTCGTTGAAGCTAACCAGAAATTGAAAAATTATTAATTGAAATTTAAAAAAAACTTTGATATGGAAAATAACTAGTTCGTAGCTGGCTCACTGACTCAAAGCAAAGCTAAAAAATCATTTGTAGTCTCTAAAAACCTAGCTTAAAAATCATTTGCTATATAAAAATTATATATAAAAGCGAAAAGACAGATTTTTTTCACTGGCTCTAATCTATATATACTAACTAAATTTTAATTCCAATAAGTGCTTAATTGAGCTGAAAACTAAAATTACTAATTTTAGAATTAGTTCGTTGCTAGTTCAAAGGCTTTCTGAGGACTCACAGTTAGTTCCTTGATTAAAGTACATCAACTATAAAGCAAAATTCAAATAGATCTTTTAAGTTATATGAATTTACATTGGGTAAATTGGACCTTTTGCCTTAAATTCCCACTCAAAAACCTAGTATTAAAATATATATATATAATATATAAACATTATTAGTTTATTAATAGGCCTTTGAATGCCGTTTCACAAATTCTTTTCAAGTCCAAAAATAAATTGTAGCTCCACTTCTATTTAAATTGAGGCCAAGCCATAAAGGATAAAAGACAAGTTGCCACAGATAATGAAAGCAACCACAAGTTTGCCAGAGCTCACTCTGCCTCTCACTTTCTCTCTCTGTCTCTATCTCCCTCTAGTTGCCTAAATAGCTGTTTCAATTGATAAAAATGTATATCAATACAAGTTTACAGTGGAGACAATATTTATTTGGGTCTGGTAGGGGTTATGGCAATTGCCAATAATTCTGACAGCTAACAGAGGTTGACTGTAAAAGCCTCTTCGGGTTGCTCAAATTTATATATATATAAATTTATTTGATACTGTTGGCACTTAGTTGAATTGCCTCGACTACTAATTGAACTCGAATTGATGGCACAACCTTTTGGCTAGACCCCTGAAAGGCGAAGAAGCAGCTGCCAATGACAAGTGACTCTCGACCCAAGGTTCGGATACGAAAATGAAAAGAAAAAAAAAAAGATGTTCTAATTGCGATGTGTGCAGATTCATAACAAAGCCTATTGCTTGTATAACTAGATATCAGGGGGAGCGACACACACAAGGACTCCAGCTTGAACTGAAGTCTCTGAGTCTCTAATATAACAAATCGCATGATGGAAGCTGTCACTAGCAACAGTTGAACGCAAATATTTATCATTGGTTATTGATGCGACTGTTGCCAGCAGCAGGACAGCCCAATACAAAACGCAAAGCAGAACGGAACAGCACAGGGCCTTCCTCTAGTGGCAACTGGCAATATACGAGTAAACATATATCGTATACATATATGAGAAACTTGCTGTTAAATTAGCCAGGCAAACAAATGCGGCAACAGACACAAAGGCAGACCAAGCAGCAGCAGCAGCAGCAGCTAGAGTAGCGGAGGCAGTAGTAGTAGTAGCAGCAGCAGCAGCAGCAACAGCAGCAGCATTCAACGACAAGAAACCAGTATCCGGTTTCAGACACAAGAGACTAAAAAAAATTGTTTTGGGGGCTTTTTTGTATACTCTAACAGAGGTTGCTTTAATATTGTGAACGAGCTTGCAGCAAAATCAATATATCTGGGTATTTATTGAAGAGTCTAATTTTTACAATATATTTGAATATAATTTTATATAATTTTTTCACAGCGAATTTTCTAGTATTTAAAATTCTTGAAATACGAATTAAAATATCTTTCTTTTATAGCAGATACGATAAATATTAAAATTTTAATTATTATTTTAAATATTTCATTTTCATCAGTTAGAGCTTCTATTAATAATATTAAGAGTAGACGGAATGAAATTAGTTCTCATTATCATAAAAATTACTTATAAAAGCTATCAATTACATTTATCGTTAAACGTTTAGTTTAGTAAGATCCTTTCCATCTGCTAAATACTTTTTACATTCTTCATTTGTATATGCCTGCAGCACGCTTTGATTTCCTTATCTTTTATCTGCTGTATCTCTACGTCTTCCATCATATTTTAAATTTTCAAATGCCAAAATCTCTTCTATCTTCCATCATATATTGGCTTTATTTTCATTTTTATCTAGAGCATCTGGTATTCACCCATGACACACTCACCTTTATTTGCTTTCCTATAACTTTTTTATTTGTTTTTTTTCTTGCCCTCTTTTTTTTGGTTTGGTTTTGCTTTGGTTGTATTGTATAGCACATGAGTGGGCTCCAGCAGCATTTTACCTTATTTATGTTGATATTTGTGCTGGCTTTTGTTTTATGTTACTTTTCTTGCCTCCAAAAGTTACCGCGTACCCGTGCCAGCCCCCCTTTCTGGCGCCCAGTGCTCGCTGGCAATTTGTTTGATTGTTGGAAGTGCTTGTAGATATTTTTGGTAGTCATAATCATTTGGCTTTTTGTTGCTCTGCCATATTTGCATATATGCAGTGCTCGTAGTTGATATTTATTTTATGAGCGAAATTATCTTTATTGAAATTCGGCATACTCCTGAGATTCATATATATATAAGCGTATATGCTCAGCTAGTAGTACGCAGCATGTTTCTATTACTCCGAGCCGAGCTCAAAGTTTATCCCCAGCGACATCTACGCGATTTATGTGCATAAATATTTACCCATATACTATATGTACTATATATTTACTTATGTTTGGCTTGTGCCTGAACTTTGGTTTTCCATTTCGTTTCAGTTTAAAGAGCTCCTTCGGCCGTTTTATGGCAACTCTTTTGATTAAAATTTTGGTTCTTGTGTAGCTGCGCGGCAATATTTGCGCATATTTAGTTTTAAATTATGCACACGTTTGCCATTTGGCCACGAAAAGTGGAATGGAAAAAAAGTAGAAATGCTACCAATGTTGGCACCTAAATGCGCATTAACTTAATGGCATTTTGTGGCACACACACAGCTTACACTCTGTGTGTGTGCAATTTTTTGAGCGGCACACAAAAGTCCTATTAAATTTTTACGACAATTCAGCGTGGAGCAGCAGCAGCAGCAGGAGCAGCTTTTTCTATTTGTACTGCACACACACAGAGCAGCAGCAGCAGCAGCTTGTTTGCTGCATAGCCTGACGCTAATAGCAAATCCTTGTTAGCCTTCACTTGAGCACAACATGTAAAATTTCACTTGAATCCTTGCTGCGACCCAAGCGGTTTATGCATTTTATATATTTGTGTGACATGGCTGTGTGCGTGAGTGTGTGTGACTTTGCAAATTAATTAGCCAAGCGGCTGCTCCTTTTGCCTGATTAGCATTTCTTAACTGTTATGGCACACGCGCATAAAACATTTATGCTTCAATTTCGATTTCAATTAGCGCCGCTGTCACTTGCCAACACACAGAATATATTTAAATTATTATTGACTATTTGTTAATTGGCCTAAACGAGGCGGCAGCGCGTTGCCATAAAAGGGGGCAGAGCCAGCGCATAAATCACATTTAATTATATTGTTGACATCGTTTTGCCGTAAATCGTGCATCACCTTTTTGATAGTCCCGAATCGTGTTCCTGCAGCTATATACACAGACAGTATATAGCCAGCATATGTATATATATATATATATTTGTATATATATCTATATTGGCCTCGAACGGTGAACGTGGCGTATTAGCAATGTTCGTGACCTTTCGCATAAAACAGCAAATGGCGCTTCCTTTCTTTTTGGCAAGGTTTTTTTTTGGCCAAGTGGCATCGCAGTACTCCATACTCCCTCGCAGCCAACCCTCCTTTCCCATGCCCAGACGTGCGCTGGCGCAAAACAAACAGCAGCTGAAAATTCCTTTAGGTCGCGCTTCGATTGGCCGTATAAAAGTTTCGCCTACTCGCGGCATTCATATTTTACGCGAAAATTTATATTTATATATATATAAATAATTGAATTTAAAACGAATAAAAATAGAAGCATAAACTTTTAAAGCATAAAAAATGGCTTTTAAAAATTTGCAGAAGCAATTTTGCTGACAGCACAAATTTCATGCTTTATATATCTAGTTTATTAACTTCGTTTTAAATATTCAAGCCAGTTGAATTCCTGTTTGCTTGTCTAGCATTATTATTTATTATTATTATAATATTTTGATTTTCATTGAATAGATTGAAGCTTCAGCACTTTAAAGACTTCCATTTGCCAGACTACAGTTTATAGCAAATAATAAAAAAATATATACTTTTCAATACCTACAAATTTTTCACTAGACAAATTATATATAACTAAATATATAATAATAAAAATGAAAATGAATATATAATTAAAGCTAATATCAAAAATAACTTAAAAGCTTTAGTCTAATATTTAAAAAAATATTTATTAAATATTTAAAGTTTTTTTAGTCTTCGAAATAAATATTAAATATTTTTTAATTGAAATGTTTTATAGTAGAATAATATCAATCAATATTAATATAATTTCTGTTATAAATGTTTACCAATTTGTAGTCAATTATTAAGTTCAAATACCCAAAGCAACATAAATAAAAGTTTTTCTATTTGTAATAACGGAAAAAAATTAATGAAGCTACTTTGCTCTTACAATGCTTTCGCCGCTGCCATTGTGAATGCTACAAACAGAAAACAGCAAATTGAAAACTTTTTGATTTATAAGCTTGTAAATCCGACTTATTTGCCCTCCCTCTCTTTCTCTCTCTCTCCAAGTCTCTGTCTCTCTCTTCATTCATATCTCTCTGACTAATTCTCTATCTCCTGCTGCTTGCAATAACTTTCAGTTTTGCTTTTGCTTGCTGCGTCGCATAATTAAACAGCGAGGCGAAGATATTGCGCCACTCTTCAGCATGACATCTTCATTTCGTCAATTTCTCTATTGCTGCATCTTCTATTTTTATTCATTAGTAGCATATTTCATTCACAGTCGCTAGTTTTGCTTTATTTGGCAATTATGAGGGAACTTTCAATGGTTAAACATTGTGCTCAGTTGGCATCCAACCAAATATGGATTATATTCCGCTAACTTTTTTTTAATGAATGCCAAGCGAAGCGTGTGTGCTATAGCGATACATATGTATCTCTAGCTGCAGCTCTAACTGTATCTTTATCTATTTCAGTGCTGTTGGCGCATTCATTACATTTGCATTCAGAAATCAGAAATGTGACCCAAATGCCATTACCTTGGTTAACGCCTGTCACTCAGTTAAATTATACTACTATATGACTGCACTGCAACATGTGAAACGAAGGAAATGCGTCCTTAATTGAGCGTGCTCAACTTGAAAATACCCTGTTGCGTTGTGCCATGAAAACTCCTTTAACGTGTCTAAGTCTTTTTCATGGTAATGCACTATGATAAATATTCTTATACTTAAATGAAATAAATTAATATTTCCATTTAAATTTATTTACATTATTCTGCTGCTTATAATACCCTTTTTCTCATCTTTTAATGGGTATTTAGTACAAAAAAACGCATAAATGAACTTGTGTGCCGTTAACATAGACAGCTGCCAAGTTGCCTTAACTTAAAGGCTATATCAGTGTATAAATGTGTGTGTAGACACCCACATACACACACACACACACACACAATATGTCTCACTCTCGCACACTTAACGCCGGGGATTTGCGCGTTGCTGTCGCTGACATTATTGTTGCACACGCCTTTTATCCTTGCAAGTCCTCTGTCTGTGTGTCAGTGTATGCTTGTGGGTGTGTGTGTGCGTGTATTTGTGGCAAAGTTGTTTGGCGCTGCGGCTGTGCGTTATGAAATGCATTTATTATAAATGGATTTAGGATTCAATTCCCTGCACATAATCCTATGCACATGCATATTACAAGTGCGCTAAGACAACGACAGCCACGGCAGAGCCAGCTAAAGAGCTCCAATTGACAATGCTCGACTGGGGAATACCCTGTCAAGTAAAATGTTGCGAGTTAACATAGAGCATATATTACTGTTTAGGTTCATATGCGTTAGCATAAAACTACAGATATTTAGATTTTATATTTATCGATAAGCATCGATAAATCAATAATATAAATGGACAGATAAGTGATAATAACATTATTTAAAAAAAAAACATATTATGATGACAGTCATCAATCACTGTTTTCCCACTGCATCAGCACACCCTACTATGGTCACTAACATAACAGGGTATAAAAGACCATTTTTAAATCTATTACCTACTCTGCCCGCGAGTAAAGCATAGCGCCTTTGGCAACATCGACTTGGTATTGATCGATTTTATCTAATAAATTATCACAGCTGAGGTCTTATTTAACCTCAATCAGCATACCCTACAGCAGTCACCCTCAAACATTACAGGGTATCAAAAGCTCGAAAGCATCTGTAGCTTTAAGTGCTTCACCGACTTAGCTCGCAACTCGAGCACACTTTTGTGCGCAACAAGACTAATCCCATGCAAACAAAATTTTTACATTTCTATTTACAGTCCAAATCGCAGTCGAGCAGCGAACTAGCGGACCACAGACGCCGCCATTGCCGCTTCCAGCAGGAGCAGATCCACAATCTGCAGCTGGCCCAGCGTAGCTTGCGCCGGCAGATGAACGAGCTGAAATACCATCACATTGACGAGCGAGTGCGCAGCATTGAGCTGGAGCAGCATCGTATAGCGAATGCCAATTTCAATTTGAGCCGTCAGATTGCGACACTGGACAAGCTGCACACATCAATGCTCGAGCTGCTCGAGGATGTTGAGGGACTGCAAAGTAAAATGGACAAGAACATACCCGAGCTGCGACACGAAATATCCAAACTGGAGTTTGCCAATGCCCAAATCAGCTCCGAGCAGAATTTGGTGCGAGAGGAAGGCAAAAATTCCGCACGTTCCCTGCAGGCAATGGCCGTCAGTGTTAGCGCACTACAGGAGGAACGCGAGGGCGTTCGAAAATTGGTCAGCACAGTGGAACAGCTGCAAACGAATGTGGATCGCGTTCAATCACTGGTCAGCAACGAGCTGCACAATAAGGTAAAACACATATTGCACTATTTAAATGGTAATTTTAGTTGAGTTTTGGTAATTACAACATCAAATACGAATCCTGATTTGAGACTAGGGCTACCACTCTATTTATCGTTAATGATATATCGCATACACATATCATCGACAGCCTCATTGCCACATGCTCGTAATTGAGAACCCATTTAGTGCATCAAAACCATCTGGCAACGCCTTTTGCATGACATATAAGCAGCTCGCTGCTTGCAGTTTCTATATATATATATATCGCTATATTCTGCGATAGTTGTGTGATCAGTCGATAAAAGCTGCAGTTTAGTTACTATCGATATTTATGTTTGATTGATAACATGGGTAGTGTTCTATTGATTTTAAAGAAGTTACGCGCTTTTCCGTTTTTAAATTTTTTATTCATTTTATATTTTATTTTCTGTTCATTTTTAGCTTTCGCACCTCAACAAGCCGCACAAACGTGCACATCACCAAAAGCAACAACAGCAATCAGCGCAGCTGACAGACTTACGCACAGACAACGAGCTGGCCGAAACACTGGTTGCAGAGCTGGAGAACGTGGAGGCACAGTATGAGGCAATTGTGAATAAACTGCCACAGGATTGCAGCGAGCTGTCGACGCATGTTGATGGTCTGCATTTAATAGCGCCCGCTGGACAGCATCATCCACTGATGACGCACTGCAACGCGAACGGCTGGACGACAGTGCAGCGTCGCTTTGACGGCAGCGCTGATTTCAATCGCTCGTGGGCCGACTACGCCCAAGGTTTTGGCACTCCCGGTGGCGAATACTGGATTGGCAACGAACAGCTGCATCATCTGACACTCAACAACTGCACACAGCTGCGCATACAAATGCAGGATATCTACGACAACAATTGGGTGGCCGAGTACAAGCATTTCTATATCTCATCGCGTGCCGACGGCTATAGACTGCATATCGGCCAATATAGTGGCAATGCTTCGGATGCGCTTAACTATCAACAGGGCATGCAGTTCTCGGCCATCGACGACGATCGCGATATATCACAGACGCACTGTGCTGCTAACTATGAGGGTGGCTGGTGGTTCTCTCATTGCCAGCACGCCAATCTCAATGGGCGCTACAATCTTGGCCTGACTTGGTTTGATGCCGGTCGCAATGAATGGATTGCGGTCCGCTCAAGTCAAATGCTGGTCAAGCGTCTGCCCAGCGATGAGTGTGCGCCGAGCAATAGCAATGAGGCGGCTGGCACGACAACAGCAACAACAACCACAACAACAACAGTGGTGCCCAGCACAAGGCCAACCACTGTGGTGCAGTTCGTTGCCGCTGCGCAGGCGTAAGCAAACAGTTAGCTGACAAAAAAGAAATAATTAAAAAACAAAGAGAAAACAGCTACAGTGAACCACCAGAGCCATGCCTACTATAGTTTGGAGTGCGTGCGTGTGAAACGCGCAAAAAAATACGAAAAATACTATATATATATATATATATATAAATATATGTGTGTATATATATATATATATGTGTGTATGTGTAAAAATTAACATAAAGAAATCACGCTTAGCTCTGTGCTGCGTGTTTCTTTTGTACATAGCTAAATTCTTGTCTAAGTTGTAGTTAATACTATTTCAATGGAGCTTACTAGCCTCGTCAACAAAGGGAAGTAGAATGAGAAGAAAAGCGAGCATTGTGCTTAACAATACAATGTACACTAGGCGTATGCGTAATCTAGCTATAGAAAGTATCATCATGGAAATATGCAACCTCCCCTTCGTACATATTTGTTTTGTCTTTCAGCAGATCTCATAGAGGCATAAGTCAGCACGCAGCTCAAATTTGAAGAAAAGAAAAGTATCATAACATATTCAGATATATATATTTATATATATATACTCTATACAAAATTATCCCTCTATTTTCGGGGCATATCATGAGCAAAACAAATAAGTGCGTGTATTGTCTTGCAGTTATTTCCATATATATATATATATATATATATATAGATTTTAAGTGAAAAGCCAGCTCTAGTGTAGGCATCTCAGACAAATAATAAATATACTTAAATGTCATAGCAGTCGCACACAACAAAAAAAAAAAAAAAAAAAAAAACAAAGTTAAAAAAAAAAATAAACCCAAAATTTTGTGTTTGTTTTGTGTGCTTCTGTAGCTTAGTGTTAGCAACAATTTAAGCGTCCATATCAAGTACATTAGTGCAGACTTGAACGAAAACAGTGATTAAGTATAGTTCTAATGGTTAATTACACAGTTGCTAATTGTAATTGTTGTATTATATAAATGTTATCAGCAGCTCCTATTCAATTGCTTGTCAACCCGATTTCATATATAAAAAAAAAGAATATATTCAGCTTAATTTCATTTCGACTAATGCAACAACCAATCGTATATGCCAAAGATAACGAGAGCGAATTCCACAACAAATGAAATAAAAATAAAAATAAAATATAATAAAACGCAAAACTATTTTCTGCACTTTTGCATATACCAAAAAATATATAATAATAATAAAATAATAATAATAATAAAAGTTGCAGCTAGCTTAAGTCAAGCATAAACTATATTATATAAATATATATATATATATATGCTTGTAAGTATATATATGTACTTGTATACATTAATTTTATGTACGTTACGTATTAAGCGACTCAACAAGAAACCGAAACATAAAGAAAAACTGGCCACAGCCAGCGTATTTTACAATAAATGAATTGATGTGAAATTTTTGCCCAGCAACAGATTTTTCCTTACGGCATTCAGCAGCTGCATAAATATCTATTTGCCCAGTGACTGGCAAAAATATTTTCCTAACTGGGACAGCGGGAGCGACTGAGAGAGAATAAGTGAAAATTAATATCGAACGTACATTTAATACCGTATTAGACTTATTAGCTCAGCTCAGCTTTTCGGTTCTATTTTTACAGCGCAGGCAATTATAATTTAAAGAACTTAAAAATATTTTCAAATTAAATGTTAACTCTTAAGTTGCTTAAATTTTATGCAAATATTTTATGAAACGATAAATATATATTTAATAGAAATATTTAATATATATTTTTAAATTTCTTTTATATTTCTGTCATAAAAAAAGTTTTCCATTTTGACATTAAAAAATATTCCTGCCAATCACAATTTTCAACAACAATTTTCTTTTTAGAAAATAAACACAAAAAAAACTTTTCTTTAATAGAAATTTTGCCTGAGGTGAGATATTTTTTAATAGAAAACATCTAAATAAAATAATAAAAAATGTGAGATATTTTTTTTTATCAAAGTCAAAGGTAAGCTTAAAAGAACTGGAATATGCATACAAAAACATTTATATACATGTTTTTATGTCGGAAATGACCAAGACCAACGAACGCTGTAAAATAAACCAAGACTTATAAATAAAATGAAACGCAACGTAAATCTTGTATATATGAGCGACATGACAACGCACTGCTGCGGCACCCAGAGTGTTGTCAATGGCAACAACAACAATCTGAGCTTTGCTGAATGCACAGATTTATGACTGCATAATACCCAAACACACACTAACACACACACACATTGCAGCTGCAGGGCAACAAGAATGAATGAATGACATGCGGGCTTACTGAAAGCCAAGTCGAGTAGTATAATGGCCCCAGCTGCGCTTTGCTAGCTAGTCTGTTGACTATGTTTTCCTTTTTAAACATACTAAAACTAAATTGGTATGACACAGACATTTGGTTAATAACACAAAAAAGTAGTTAATGAATAAACTAAGAATCGTGCGCTCAAATGTATGCTATGATTTTTGGGTTTTATTAAATGCGACTCAGTCAAGCAGTGTACAAAGCAGTGCATATTGCCAGCTGAACTGCTTAATATGTCTGGTAGTTCGGCAGGCGGTCTATCTGCCTGTCTGTCCGTCTGCCTAATGCTCAGTGTTCTATGCAGCCCAGCTCACGCTGCAGGCATAAAAAATTTTTCGCACCAAAAAAGCTGCAGCAAATCCTTCAAGCAAACGCTCAGCTGCAATTTATCAAGCATGAGAGCACACACACTTTAATAATGGAGCAGTGCCCATTTTTTATGCTGCTACGAACAGCAGCTTATTTCAGCTCTTCCGCAGCTGCTTTGAGACTCTAATATTGAATATTTTTCAGCATTGACTTTTGACTGGGTAAGCATTGCCATGGCATGGCATGGCATGGCATGGCAAGGCTTTGGCTCAAGTTAGAAATGTCATTGTAGATTGACGCACTGATCCTTATTTATGCATTTATTTTGCTGACACTTTACCCCAAAAAAAAGAAGAAAATTTCGGGGCTAATGCAAGCGCAAAGCGAAATGTCAGCAAGCAAAAAAAATTGCAATTTTCTTATTTTTTATTTATTAATATTTTTCTTCTTCTTCATTTTTACTTATGTTTGAAGCTTGACATTTATTTGCTGGCTGCGAAAACAAAAATAAATGTAAATAACATTTGGCATTTGGTTGAGTGAAGCTCCAGAGGCAGCCCACACACAAACACACACTAAATATATATAGAGAAAGAGACAGAGTATATATACATTTTTTGACTTTACTTAGGTCAGTCAACAGTTTACAGCGCTTCTGCACCATTTAACCTAAGAACATCTTTGCGTATAAAGTCAAATTTAGTGTGAACTGCCCAAAAAATAAAATAAAATAAAATAAAATCAAAAGGAAATGAGCCCTACCTAACCCAAGCCGGCTAACATTTTTTTTGCTTTATATATATATTATTTTTTATACAAGTATTTACAAAGGCCAGCGTTTAAATAAGTAAAAGGAGCACAAATAAAAACTGAAAGCTGCACATTTAAAATGCAAATCTATTCATGGTTCTGCGGTCGTAAGCACCACGAAGTCCGGACTGCCCGTTTTTTCTAACGTCCATCGTCCTTTGTCCGCTGTCCGTTATCCGGAGTCTTGTGCGTTCGCACTTCCGGCAATTAACAATAAGCGTCGCAGAAAGGTAGCTGAATTTTTTCATGAATAGCTACTTAAATATGGAAGCCATATTAACTAGCTGAAGCTCCTAGTTCTGCTTTCAGTTGAAGCTCTGAAGTGAGAAGCTTTTCAAGCTCTTGTTATTATGTGTCAAAATAGAAATCAGGTAGAAAGGGAAGCACACGAATTGTGAATCACTTTTCGTAGAATAGCATTGAATTCTTTTCACCAAATAAAATCTGCGAATTGTGATATTGCCGCTAAATATAGAGCCAATTCATAATATCTTATACTGAGCATATTTTACAGCATTTCTTAGAAAAATTTTACATTGGGCAATCTAGATAGAATTTATTTAAAATACGAAATATTTTTAAAATATACATAATAAAATAAATAAATAAAAAAGTATATACATATAAATAATATATATATAAAATAAAATTCTACTGAAAATCTTCTGTAAATTATATTTTTAAAAATTCATTATTAAAAATATTTGATTACAAATTATTCGTATATATTTCGCATATTTATTTAATTATAAAATACTATTTTTTTTTATAAAATATTACATTTTACTTTAAGCTTTAAATTCAACAAAAGCAACTTCTTCAACTAATATTTTCAATTTCAAAACAATTTTTAATATCATCTCTATCAAAACATAAAACTTTCGCCACATCCCAAAAGTCTGCTGTAAATCAGTAAACGCTAGCGTTGCTCTCTAAAAGTGCAGCCATTTAAATATTTATAAACACATACATACGCATGCCTCACGCAAGCAAGTAAAGTCAAAACCAAAAAACCGCGAGCTTTACAGATTGAATAATTCGAGTGAACTGAGCTAAAATTTTCGACTGAAATTATGCTCAATTTCGGTGGAAATAATATACATATGTATATATATGTATATATGTTGTGTATATTAATTCGCTTTACATCATTTGATATATGCAATCGACGCAACGGGGCGTATGCGCAATTAATATGCATGTAAATGCGTCAAACAAATAATTATGATAATTGAAGTCGGCTTTGTAATCGATGCGCATACGCTTTAAGACCACTTAAATGTGTATTACAAATTCCTCAGAGACGGACAAAAAGGGTAAACCTGTAATGAAATTTACATTAAATATACTTTAACACACACGGCCCATAAAAAGAAAGGCAGACAACAATTTAATTAAAAGACATAATACAGGCGCACAGCTGCTCAGCATAGCAGCTTAAGCAGATAAAAGACGTGAGAGCTAAAATACAGAATAAAAAAATAACTATAAAATTTTACGATTCTAATATGGCTGTCACACACACCCTCACACACACACAGCACGCAGAGCCACAGGCAAAGAGCAAACGGTTGTTAGCATTTTCTTTTAATCAGCTGGCGACGCGAGCGCTTTTTTTCGGCTTTAGTCCTGCTGACAGCGTGTGTGCCCACATCCAGCACCATGCTAAAGGGAATATGCTAATTTTAAT